CCTCAGTGAAATGCATGCCATGTTTTGTACCAATGAGAACAATCCCTCTTGGACTTGTCTTTTATAGTAATCACAGAAACCTTTCTTAATGAATAAGAAAATGGCACTTCCATTTTCTAACTGGGGTTTGATTTAGATGAAAAGGTTACAAAGGACAACCCAGCACATGCACACTGCAGGCTGTGATTATCTCCATGGTTCTGCCAACCCTCTGAACCACAATTTCACCACATGGAAGTTGTATCTCAATAGTAAACATAAGAGAAGCTTTCACAACAAATTCTGTAAGTACATTCATGCTATCCACAGCAATATTACATTCAATTAGGAGACCCTGATTGGGGCTACATACAGCTGCTACTGTAATTAACTTTTCCTTTGTTGTACATGTTATGTCAGACCCAAGGAATGATCATTAAAGGGGCATGTTCCGGTAGAAGTAATCATACCCTGGACCCTGGAAGTTGGACAGCAACTGAAAAAGAAAATGCAAAGTTTCTCCCCTTGCAAAGGCAAAGACAGTGGAACAGACTGTGCCTGAACCCTTATTAATACTAGTTTTCCACCCACTCTTCATTTCAAAAGAAATTCAGTCTTTCCATTCTTTGTTTGTTGTCCAAGTAATTTTACTGGTCTCATGAAGGCAGTTTAGAGAGATGCTTCTCTCCTCCTGGAGACAGTAGAACAGAAAGGCAGAGAATAAGAAGCATTGTTTCTGCCTGTGTGATGGTGCTTACCTGACCAATGGGACCCTTGGAAATGTGGTAATAACTAGAGGAATGGGATGCAACAAAATAGAAAGCAATTCTGATGAAAAGAGTAGGAGCTAAGCCAGGAACACACATGGTTTTTCTGTATAATATACATGAAGGTGGTAGGAATTCATGGTTAGGATAGAAAGTACAATGTAAAGCCTTTTCCAACATGTAAGTGAAGTTGTAACCTTTCCTGATGTCTACAGTAATTTAAAAAAAAAAGAGTTTACCTAAATAGCTTCCAAAGAATTAGATCCCTTGGCTCTCTTACATACCTTGATGTACAAAAGACAGAATTCTGATTCTGCATTAATCAGGCAGTCAGTAATCATGTATTAAGCACCTACTATATTCCAGAGACTGTATTAAGTTCTGGTGGTACAAAAAGAGGCAAAAGACAGTTCCTGACCTCAAGAAGTTTACAATCTAATGGATGAATGTTGATGATCATAAGACAAGACTTAAGGAAAGAACTGTGGGGAAGAAGCAGAGCATATGTGGTAGAGCCACTGATCAACATGATGTAGAGCTACTGAATAAATCACATATGTAGCTCTAAAATGAAACCAATCCAAATCTCAGTAAAGCATCATTATACAGAATGCCAAGCGATGATGATAACAATTCATGTTTACTTAGTATTTCATGGCTACAAAGCACTTTTCATACGTTATGCTGTTTGTTCTTACCAAAAGTCCTGGGAGGTAGGAAAGTAAGGTATTAATAATCCATTTTATGCATTAGAAAACTGAGGTTCAGAGAGATTAAATGACTTGCTCCAAGGCACACAGCTAGTATATCGTTTTCAGGTACAACATGCTTTCCAGGGCCCAACACTGTTCCATGCCAATTTATCTTTACAGTGAGGTAAAGAACAAAATCCATGCCCCCAATAGACAAACGGTCAAAGAAATTAAAAGCAGTTTCCAAAAGAAGAAATATAAACTATCAATAACAGTGTGAAAAAAAATTTTCATATTACTAATGATAAGAGAAATGCAAATTAAAACAACTCTGAAGTTCCACTGGATATCCATTAGATTGGTAAATTTGATTTAAAAAAATTGTTAGTGGGGATATAAGAAGACAGGCATAGAAGCATACTGCCATGAATTGTTCCAACTATTCTGGAAAGCAATTTGAATGTATACCAAAAAGTCATTAAATTATGATTTTGCCCTTTAACCCAGTGATACTATTTATTAGGTATATAACCCAAAAAAGGTCAAAGACAGATACAAAGGGTTCAAATGTACAAGAATATTTAGAGTACATTTTCTTGTAACTAAGAACCAGAAACAAATGGATTCCCTTCAATTAAGGAATGACTAAATACCTTATAGTATATGAATGTAATAGCATATTACTATTCTTTCAGAAATGTTGAAAGAGACAAGTTTATAGAAACTTAGGAAGACTTGTATGAACAGATGCAGAAGGGAGTTGGCAGAAGCAGAATAAGCAATCTAATGACAACAATAATGTAAAGGAAAATAACTTCCAAAGAATTAAGAACTCTGACAATGCAATGACCAGTCATGACTCCAGAAGACTGATAATGAAACATGCTAACCACTTCTCTCCAGAGAGGTAATGGACTTGAGGTGCATGATAAGGCACGCATTTTCTGATATATACATTTTCAGATAAGGCGTGTGAACTTGTTTTGCTCGATTAGATTTATTTGTTACAAGGGAGGGCTTTTATATTGGGGACAGAGAAGAGTTGTAGGTGGGTAGTAATAGTGGTACAAAAAAAAAAAGAAGAAAGGAAAGTCAATTAAACATTATCACCACACAGAAAAGAAAAGGAAGAAGTTCTGGAGGAGACAGCATATGGACAAGCCAAGCTGGTTTTTGACTATTATGTTTAACTTGATAATTTTTTAAACTGTACATAATAGTTCACAGTTTCATACACAGTCCTCTTTTCCAGTCCTTTCTATATTGAAATGTGTGTTTGTTGATTTGTTTTTAGTTCATAATTTTAGAAAAAGGAAAAAACTACTGCTATAATGGAAGCATGTACTACCTGTACAACCTCTGGCAATTAACTTTTTGACTCTAGGCTTCAGTTTCTTCATCTACAAAATGAAGGGTTTGGACTAAATAATTTTTTTCTAAAATATATTAGATCATAAGAACATAGATTCCATGTTGGAAGGAATCTTAGAAGTCATTGATTCCAATCTTCATTTTATAGATGAGGAAACTGAGGCACACAGAGATGACATGATTTGTCTAAGTCACATAGCTAGTGAGTATCTGAGATTTTAAGTGAGTTCTGCCTGATTCTTAAGTTCAGTGCCTTAACCATTATGCCAAGGTGGCTACTGAGGGCCTTTCTAGCTCTTAACCTATAATCTAGTATGTCTGAGGAAACAAAAATACAAGCATTATACTTCCAGAAGCAGTTGTGTCTGAAATCAGAATTCTAGGAATACTTCATAGCATTAAAATGTGCAAGAAGACAAAGACTGAATGAAAACCAGCCCCCCAAATTATAATTCAACAAAGAGTTCTTTTCTGTCCCTGGTAAGGTAGAAGAATGTAACACATAAAATAATGTGCTCAGGAGAGGCAGCACGATTTCTGTAAGAGGAGACTGGCTCATTAACATGCCAGAGTTCCTGGATGAGATTAGCAAGCACTGACAAAGAGCAACCCAAGTTGTTTGTAAATGTTCATTGCAAAGACTATTTATTTGAATAAAATTGAAAAGCAAAACTGAGATTTGAGGAAACTTATAGAGAAATGATTCAAGGACTGAAAACAACATATAAATCTCAACAGATACTGTTTCTGAATAAAGAAATGTTAATAGTAGGTTAGTGAAATCATCTGGGGATCAGTCCTAAGATTGTTTTTATTTCAGATTCTTGTAAATTTTCTGGAAGAGAAAAAATATAAAAATTCATATATCAATGCAGAATGCATTCACCAAGTGTGCAGAGGCAGGAAGTGAAATTTTAATGGCTAGTTATAGATGTCAGAAAGGCTTCATCAAATATAGGTAAAAGAGTGGCAAATGGATCAGTCTAGACATATAAGGCACTATATCTAGCAAAAAAAAACCCAACCTAAAACCATGTTCATGAGGTGGGTACTAATAGTGACTATTGTTCAAGCCTGGAAAAGGAATCCAGCTGGACTGTGGGTTATTTCCTCAAGATATCAACCCAATGAACTGTAATACTCAAAAAGGTTGACAATATTCCAATATTACCAAATTAGATCTTGAAGAAAAAAACAGAAAACATCCAGAATAATTGAGAACAAGTTCATCAACTTAAAATTAAAAATTGATCAACAAGCATTTTAAAAAGTATATTTTTATTTATATCCCTTTTTTTACATGCTCTACATTTCTTACTATATCCCCCTTCCACTCCTCCCCAAAGATAATAAACAATTTTAAAAGAGGAAGAAAGAAAAAAATTATGCTAGAAACTAACCAACATACCAAAAAAGACCATGCAGTAGTCCATATCCTTGGTCCCATCCCTTGTAAAGAGGGGGAGGGAGTTGTCTTCTCATAGACTAAATGAGATAACATATGTAAAATCCTTTCAAAACCCTAACAAGTATTTAAATGCCATTATTATTATTAGCTCTTGTTTGATCATTTAATTTCGTAGCTTTCAATTTTTATTATCTTGTTGTTCTTTCCATTTACATTGTTGCATATTTTCCCCTCAGTTTTGCTTACTTCATTTTGCATCAGTTGATGTCTTTCCGTGGTTCTCTGTATTCATTATGTTCATTGTTTCTTACAGCCCAGTGAATTTCCATTACATTCATATACCATAATTTGTTTAGCTATTCCTCAATCAATAGGCATCTACTTTGTTTCTAATTCTTTCTATGACAAAAACGTGCTGCTCTAAATACATTGGTTGCGCGGGGCTTTTCTTTTTATTATTGATATCCTTCAACAACATTCATTAAGTAGAAGTAACCAAATGCTAACTTCAAAATGAATATGTCTGGGCTTGGAGGCAAATGTGAGTTCAAGAAGTCTAGAGATACCAGGTCCATCAAGTGGAGCTAAGTCTCATGGTCATAGGATATGAGTAGGCAGTTTTCTGATGAAGAAATCAAAACAATTTATAGTCATATAAAAATGCTCTGAATCATTATTGATTAGAGAAATGCAAATTAAACCAACCTTGAAATGCAAATAAAAACAACTTATCAAATTGACTAAAATGATATAAGGGGAAAGTGACAACTGTTGGAGGGGATATGGAAAAATTGGAACACTAACTCATTAATGGTGGAATTGTGAACTGATTCAACGATTTTGGAGCCTATTCATATCTTATGATCATGAGACTTCTCTTGGCAGTGGGGAAAGGGAAATTCACCCTTTTTCCCACTACAGTTATATGGTGGCTATGAGCACATAAAAGCAAATATGCACGTCATGCCTAGGAGAGCCTGAGACTGGGTCTCAGAGTCTTAGGCACTTTTTCTGTTTTGTACTTCTTTTCTGAGTAGAGGTGACTAAACTGCTCTAACCTATCTGCATCCTGAATCTACTGCCAAGTTGCGTAGGTCTGCTCTACACATTTATACATTTGCATGCAAATGTTCTAAAATTATATTACCTATTTCCCTGCCTACTTATATTGCTGAATGTAATTTAATCTTTTCTTGATTACTCAGAATAATCATTATGAACATCTTGTATTGTGCTATAATGTAGTGATACCTTTAAGATTTATTGAATTATACAGAGAATTCTAATTCTGCACCTAATGGCCTCATATTGCTGTGACTTTTGAATTCTTGGATCTGCTTTTTACAATTTTTCTTATCTTCCTTGTCTTTATAAAGACAAGGATAGAACTTATATCTATGACTTCCCTGATAGAGAGAGCTACCAGATGAGGAAACGTCACCTACGATACAGATAGGCAACTTCTTCTGCCATTTTTAATTTTAGAGAACTGACTGGAACTCTGAAAGGTTTAAATGACTTATCCAGACATGCATAACTGGTATGGACTTGAATCTGGGTCTTCTAGGCTCTGAGGTCAGCTTTCTATTCACTGTCATTAATCTCTCAACTAATCATTTCTCATTGTTGTTGGTGTATGTTCATCCACTCCACTTTTTCTAATATGCTGTGGGCTGAGAGATCAGGAAACTCAGCTTGTTAGAACTATGTATAAAATAAGAAAAAGTAAAGGTCTGAAGGGCTTCCCAATGTGTAAACTCCATGTGCTTTTAGAATATGGACTTTGTGGCATTTACTTGACATCTCAGACACCTTTTCTCTAATTTTCTGGTTCTCTGCTTTTACGGATAGATTAGTTTGCTAGGTAGTTAATGTCTAGATGAGTGACATACTACCATAATAGGCTAGATCGGGGTTTCTTAACCTTTTTTGTACCATGGATCCTTTGGCAGCCTAGTAATTCCTTACCAGAATAATGGTTTAAGTAATTAAAGGAAATGCTAAATTTCAGTTAGAGGTTAATGAAATGAAATGAAGTTAATGAAAATGAAAATAAATATGTCATCTTTTCCCCTGTTGGTTTATACACTCCCTGTAATTTATCCCTGAACCCCCAGAATAAGAATTCCTGAGCTAGATAGATCATTGGTCTGACCCCGTAGAGCATTTCTTATCTCAATGTTACTGAATTTCACTGGTTTAAAATAGGTGATACAGTAGTAGCTACAGTCTATTTTGAGGGTAAGGCAAGTGGCAGAGTCCAATTATTTCTGATCTCATGGAATGAAATAAATAATAGTAAACATTCCGAGTAATTTTTAATGACACAAACATTTCCAGTTTCAATAAACACACAGAAGATTATATTGTATTATAAGTGAAACATGTTCAGGGAGGACTAGCACTTGTGGTGCAAGGACTTGCTGTGCCCTTTTCAGGGCTGCTCGTCTACCTTTGGTGTCCACCTGTCACCCAACTCTCACCTGTGGCCCTAAGAAGCTGTAGCATGCACAGCAGTCATAGCCTGGTAAAACAGTCTCACAGATGGAATAAACCAAGTTGAGGGTAACCAACAGGCCTCAAACCCGTTGGCGAGGTAAGGGAATGTCTCTCCCTGGTGGAATGAGTGGATGGAAACAATTTGTTCCAATGGCCATCAAAGAGGCTGAAGCAGACTCTGCATGGAGTGCTTAGAGTTTGGTCAGACATTGAAGACACCAAGGTCATCCACTGTATCCCAGGCCATCGCCATTCATCCTGATTTTTATCTTGTCAATGGAATTTTGATGACTCTAGAAAAGAGAGTGACATTCATTGATGACTTTGTGCAACTCTGCCTCACTGAAATCCAATTCACTCCCAAGTCAAAACATCACCCTGTTCCTCTTCCAAATTAAGGACAAACTGTAAGAACCCTTAAAGTAGTGAACATTGCCATCTTACCTCCTTACCCTGCCCAGAAATAATCTGCCACAAGTCATAGAACCTTGCCATCGAACAGACCCTCATTTCTTGAGTAAATCTCTCCGTTGGCTGCCCCACTCCAAGGACAGAAAATATCAGTCAATGTTGTCACTCTATAGCCTCTAGCTTATCATAGATTAATACCTTCCTCAGCAATTTCATTTCCTGACAGTATTCCCTCTAAATCTTGACTTTCACCCTGCAAACTCCTCAGGCTCTGGCGAAATCTGAGTTCTCTCCTGCTTCTTGGGGCTGTTTCCAATAGTAAATCTTGTCCCTTGTCTGGTCTACAAGAATTGATTCCCTACTGCTACTTGAAACAAGTAGAGAAGTGTTCCCAGTGGAAAATGAGCCCTAGTGAATTCTCAGGGACTAAACTCAGGATACAATAACAAACCCAATGAGGTTCTTTACTTTGCTTTCATTCACCCTACACATCAAATTAGACACTAAATCTTACTGTGTCTGCTCTTCCATCCCACCTAAGTCAACAGAACACAATCCTATCACAGTCACAGACTGTAAAGGGCCGCAGCCATCACGCCTCTCCATCCACACAACCATAGCCCCAATTCAGGTCTTCACCACCTTACCTGTACCATTATCAAAAGCCTCCTATTACTCTCTGGGATCAAATAGAAATATCCCTGACTATCATCTCTGGGATCAAATATAAACTGCTCTGTTTGGCATTTAAGTCTTTATTTACAATGTGACACCATCTTACCTTTCTAGCCTTCTCACACATGGCTGCCCTCCGTGCATTCGATAGTCCAGTCATACCAGCCAACTTACTGTTCCACACACTCCCATCTCTATACCTTTGCACTGTCACTTTGTCATTTCAGGAAACCCCAAGAGTTCCCTGATATCTATTCTAACAAACAACATTCTCTCAGCATCTAAGATTTTGATATCTAGCCTCCAAGAGTTTCCAATTGTCTTCTCCACCTACTCCCCATCCCATTATCTTTTTGGACACAGTGAAATTAATGAGATAATTTCTCAAGGCAGAATTTTGGCCAAAAATTCCATGATTTTAAGGACAGTATACATACAATTTTGAGTTTGTCCCTGCTGAATTGGTTGCTTTTCCTCCTGATACATTCTGGATGTAGCCTACATGATCTTTGGGGGTCCCCACCCCAACTCCCACTCACATAGACAAATTGGGTCCCCAGAGGATAATTACATCTCTTCCTCACAAATCAGGAGCTCACTCTCTCATCTATGCCTCAGTCCCTGGGGGGAATGGGCTTAAGCTTAATGTATCTGCTGCAGACATTTCTCCCAACACTGAGTTTGCTTCCAGGTGTGGCCTGCAGATGCAGGCACTCCTTTGCTTACAGGTCACGGTGTCTCAGCTTCTAGGTTGATTGGGGTGGGGCAGGGCTGGGTCTAGCTGGTTCCTCCTCAGGGCTGAGGCAGTTATGAGTATTGTCAAACTATGTTAGCTCTATGTTAGCTTTTTCTGACCTTTAGAAGCTCACAAGGTCATTCCCTCTCCAATCCTTCACCTAAAAACAGGAAAGAATAAACACAACAGGGACAGAAGCAACAGCAGGACCATGTGCTCACGAGCCACATGTCAGGTAAGGAGAGTAGATTGCTGGCACTACCTCTTCTGTCCCCACCTGGAGGTTTAAAGGAGTCTTGGCCTCTATCACTACCAGGAAAGAGGGGTTTTCGCCACCAAGGGCCTTTTGTATGTACTCTTCAGTTTTAACTTCGCAGTCAACCAAAAGGTCTTTTCTTCACCTCATTAAGTCAGACAGAATAGAGTCACAGAATACCCACAGAATGTTCTGAAGGGAATAGCCAGGCACCCTCATTCCATGTCATCCCGTACTTTCAGGGTCAGACTCACCAAATATCCACAGGGATTCCCTGCACGTACTCTTCAGGCCGTCATAGGTCAGTCCTCCCTTACGTGTGTATCTGCAGAGGCAAGCACCTATGTAATAATAATAACAATAATAGCTGAAATGTACAGTTTACTATATGCTAGGCACTGTGCTAAGTGCTTTACAATTATTTTCTCATTTGATCCTTACAACAAACCTGGGAAGTAGCCTATTATTATCTGCATTTTACAGATGAGAAAACTGAGAAGGGTTAAGTGACTTGCCCAGGGTTACACAGCTGAGGCCAAATTTGAACTCAGGTCTTCCTGACTCCAAGTCCTAAGCTCTACCATTGCTCTACCTGATGGCCTAAGTCATTGATCTCCCTGAATTTCCCGACTATTTTCTTCTACTTAAAAAGCTATGTATTTTCATACTCTTCTATTATGTCACTGATTGCTCTCCACTTTCCCATAACCCTTGATCTTACCCAGAGCCTCTTCATCTCACAATCTCCTCTTTATCCCACCAGACTGATACCCACTTAAATTTTCTCCTTAGGCAGCCAATGAAGGAAAAATATTTCTAACTATATAGAATTATTATTGGTGTTTTCCCTTTGTCATAAAATGCTGGACTAAAGTGAGCTTGACTGGGTGTTTACAAAGAGACTATAAGATATCTGGTGGTTACTGACTGGGACTTGTCCAATAGAAAGAGCCTTGAACTTGGAGTCGGAAGACCTGATTTCAGCTGCCAGTTTTGCAATTTAATAGATTGTAAAGGTGAGCATTTCATGTCACCTCTCTGATGAACTTCATTTCCCTCACCTATAAAATGGGAGCTCTAATGTGAGAGGTAGCCTAGTGGATAGGGAGTTAAGAAGACCTGGGTTCAAGCCACACCACTTACATGTACTAACTATATGACCTTGAAGAAGTCACTGGACCTCTCGGTGCCCCTCCTCCCCCAATAACTCTTAAGATTAGAAATTGTAGAACAGGTGCTGCTCTATATTTGTAGAAAGAATTGCCTCACTGGAAGTGCCCTATGTCATTGTAATCGCAAGAGTGGTTAAAAAAATAGTCAATAAACATTTATTAAGTACCTACTGTGTCCTAGGAAGAATATACTATCAACCTTACAGGGTTGTTGTGAATAATGCCTTTTGTCAACTACAAAGTGTTACAAAAATGTCAGTCAAGTCAACAAGTGTTTATTAAGCAGCTACTATGTGTCAAGAATTATGTTAAGCATAGAAACACAAACAAAGGCAAAAAACAGTCCCAGCTCTGGAGGATCTCACAGCCTAAAGCAAACAGACGTGTATAAACAATACAGAGAGAGAATAATTTGGAGGGGCAGCAAGGTGGCACAGTGGATAGAGCACAAGGCCTGGAGTCAGGATCCTGAGTTCAAATCCGACCTCAAACCAGACACTTGACACTTATTAGCTGTGTGACCCTGGGCAAGTCACTTAACCCTAATTACCTCACCAATAAATAAAAAGAGAGAATAATTTGGAGAAAATCAACAGGAGGAAGGCACTAGCTTTAAGTGTGTAGGGGCAAAGCTTCTTGTAGAAAGGAAGATTTTGTCTAGGACTTGAGGGAATCCAGGGAAGCCAAGAGACAGAGATTAATCAGATAACAATAACATAAGATTAATAAGATCTTAACATGTACCAGGTACTGGGCTAGGTGATAAAGATACAAAGACAAAACTGAAACAATTCCGTCTCTCAAGGAGCTTACCTTCTATAGGGAGAGACACTACATAAAAAATAAGTACTGTATACAAATTAAACTCAATGTAATTTGTAGGGTAAACATTAGCAATTAGCAGAGGGTGATGTGACTGGAGCTGTGCTTTTAAGGGAACTAAAGCTTCTCAGAGGCAGGGGCAAGGAGGGAGTGAATTCCAGGCATGTGCAAAAAGCATGGAATAGGAGATGGGATATTGCCTGTGAGTAGCAGCAAGAAGGCCACTCTGATTGGACTACAGAGTACATGAAGGGAAGTCATGTTTAAATCTGGAAATGTAGAATGGACCCAGATTGTGAAAGGGTTTTCAATGAGCATTAGAGAAATTTGTATTTAATCTTAAAGATAATAGATAATAGCACTTGAACACTGTAGATGTACATCAACCCAGACCCTGTCTTAGTGTAGTGCGGGGCACATAGTAAATAGTAAGTAAGTAGTTGTATATTGAGACAGCCATATGTAAGGCACATCAACAGTAAGCTGATGGATTCTCTTAAAATTTTTAAGGCATTTTTGGCCTTTTAATGCACTTGAATAGTTTTACAGTTGCTAACTGTATTACTACTCTGTGTTCTTTTTTAGGTTGTCATAGGGTCATAGTTTTCAAGCTAGAAAGGACCTTAGAATCCACTCACATTATAGATAAGGAAACCAAAGTACAAAAGCATTCAAATATCTTTCTCAGGGTCACATACAGTTAGAAAGTGTCTGGAGCAGGATTTGAACCCAGGTCTCCCTGACTTCAAATCCAGTGCCCTAGCCACTATATCAAGCAACCATTATATTTTTCTAGCCCTTATGTGATTGAGGTACTAGGGCACAGATTCATATAATGAGTTTCCAAAGGCCAAGCATCAAGCTAGCAAAAGGATCAATCAATCAATAAACATTTATTAAACGCTTACTATAGAACATGCCATTTCTTTAGTGCTAGTTAGGTGCTTTATTCACCAGACCAAGAAATACTGCTCTATGAGCATTGCTGTGATACTACATAATAAAAACAGCAGTCCCTGGGAAAGATCACAGATCAGGGTGTGGTAAAAATCCAGAAATTATGTCCCTCCCTTTGTGGGTCAAGCATCTGGCAAATACGTTCTCCAGCCAGGATCCACTGTGTAGAGCTCAGCAGTTCTCACAAAGGCTACTATGAGATTTTGGCAGCTGCCAATTTTCTTTTGTAAAGTGGGTGTTCTAACTCCTCATAAAAGTCTTCCCTCCCACTGTACTTTTTTTTCCCTCTCCTCCCCCGCACTCCACACCCTGCTGCACACACCCTCCCACTTCTGCACAAACACAACTACACTCACCCCTCCCTCATACATATTTTACACACAGCCCCCACCCCTCCTCCTCCTCTGCACACACCCACATACTCTCTTTCTCAAATACTTGATCCCTCTCTCCTCCACCCCATGCACCCAGATATAACACATGCAGTTATCTTTCTCATGCTCTCATTCTTTCCATCTCTCAACTTTCCCATAACCCTTGATCTTACCCAGAGCCTCCTTCAGCTCACAATCTCCTCTTTATCCCACCAGACTGATACCCACTTTAATTTTCTCCTTAGGCCTGGGACTCCTGAGACTGTGATGCTGATTTAAGGATTCATCCCCTGAATATTCCAAATCTGGAGCTGTCACAAGCAGGAAAAGAGCCAACATACATGTGCCTGCCTGCTTCTCTCCTTCTGCTAGATTAGGAGGCAGCCTGGAAAGAAGTTGGCATTCAGCCATATTTCTGTGAACTAGAAAACCTCCTCCTTTTCTCCCTCTCTAACTTCCTGTAGGAACCATGCCAGGATCTACAGTGGCAGCAGCCAACCTCAGTCCCCTTTTCCAGCCCTACTGATAATTCTCTTGGATATTTCTCAGACTCTACATAGTATAAGGTCTGTAGGAACAACTGTCTAAGGCGCCTATCCAGATGACCATGATTGTCACTCAATTCTGAATTGTATAACAGAGGAAGGAAAGGGGGACACTAAAGGTGGGAATATGATTAGATTCAATGAAAAATTCACAAAAACGTATCTTGAAATGAGTTATTTTCATAATACTTATTGGTCAACATGGTGAAACCGATTTAAGTCCTAAACATGGATAAGCCACCCAAAGTAGACAGAACACTATTGTTTACCAAATCTTCATCTGTCATAATATCCGAGTGACCCACTAGGACTTTAAATTAATCTCTTTGGGCTTATAGTTTCACACCAGTATCTATCTTGTTGTTTTTCCTTTTTCTTGCTGAGGCTTCTAGGAGTATAATTAGAGGCATAAGAGAGCATAATTATAAAGACAAATGTGTATCCTCTCTTCCTTTCACACTAAGGTTATTTGTAATTTTGCTGAAGGACATTCGCTTCTGGTGAGTGGATGCTCCAACATTTAAATGGACAATTATTATTTTCAAAAAGTAATATTTTTCAAGCTAAATACTAAACAGAGCCAGCAACACTGTAGCGGAGATTTTGGTGGATTTGAGCTTCATTAATGGGAATACTTCCACCAGTGATGCAGATAAAAATCATCCTTTCCCCTCTTTGTTCATGTTTTCTTACAAATCTTCCATAGAACTTGTTCTCTTCTGGTCTTGAGGGTACCCACATATTACTTGGGCTGTCCAACTCTTGTCTCTTAACCTTGTTATATAACCAACCCATCCCTTTTTCTGGTGATGCATACCACAAAAACAACAAATCCATAGTTGGAAGTGATCTCAGAGGTCATCTAGTCTAACTAGCACTTGACTAGTAACCCAATAATCCAAAAAACATGAAATAAGTGCCTACTATGTGCCAAGCATCATGCTAAGTGCTTGAGGATACAATTAATAAAAAGGAAGATAGTCTTTGCCCTCAATTACAAGCAATCTAAAGAGGGAGATAACATAAAAAGGAGGCAGGAAAGCAAGGAGGTAATGGGATCATGTTGTATGCAGTTAAACCAGGCAGGACAACATGTTCAAGGTGGATTGAGCTGAGAGTCCAGTTTCTGTCTTCTAAACAGGAAGGCATTAGGAGGAGTTTATTACTCTGCCATCCAGCCCTCCAATCAGAGAGGAGAGGAGAATGAGGGGGTGGTATCCATCAAGGTTTGAGCTAGCAGCACGTTGGTGAGTTAAGAATTAATGAGTTTAACCTGAGAGGGCCATCTTGTTCCATGAGTTGAAACCAGGCAGGGCAACAGATATAAATTGGAGTACCTACAACGTCCCTGGCAAGTGATTATCCGGCCTCAATAATGAACTACACACAAGCTGCCATTAATAATGTGCTTCAGGCAGAAAAAAAGGCTTATCAATGAATTAGCAAAGATGGAAATATTTCATTTTGTGGTTCCTGTGTCAAGGGATACAAAGGAGAGGGTCGAGGGATAAATAGGAGACTAGTTGGTGAATAAATATTAACTCAGGAAAAATCTCAGGGGGAGATGAGCTTTTAAAGGATCTTTGAATGAATAGCATTGTCTCTTTATCTTGTGAACTGTCCAGTGCTTTTGCTTAAATAGCAATACCCTCTTGGAACCTTGCTCATTAAATTTTTGTTGTGGTGGTGGTAGTCACTGGTCAGCAATCAATTAATGTGTCTGATGGCTCTATGTAGTGTTTATTCATTCCCTTGTGTTTTTAGCTGATTGATGATCAATAGGTTTTCTTTCTGTTCCTCATAAATAACAATACTACATCTGTGGTGTCTATGCCTTTTCACAGGCTGGCACTGATATCTGGAATGTACCCCCTCATCACTTGCACTTCTTAGAATCCCTCATTTTCTTCACAGTTCAGTTTAAGCATCACCTTCTACTCATTCTTTCCTGATCCTCCCAACTGCTAGTGCCTCCCCACCCTCACTCCCATGCCCCCAATAATCTTGTATCTATGTACGGCCAGCCAATGTTGTGGTGGAGCAAAGTGCCAGTCACTTATGCTCTTTTTCTTTTTTTTTTATCCCCTCCTCTATCAAAGAAAAAGGAAAAGTGAGTCTGTTCTAGAGTCCATGTCTTTTCTTCCAATGAGATGGCTTCTGGTATAACCTTCCCCTTGATCTTTGCTCTCTCTTCCCTCCTCCTCTCTTCAGAAGCTGAAGATTTGTCTGAGGCTCTTATGTTTGAACCAGTCTGGTCCTGGTTACAAAGAGCTAACATACTTTCAGCCCAGAGGTAATGTCATAAGACTATGTTAACCCCTTTTACTGCTACATATGGAAACTTAAAGGTATATATTATTAATAAAAAATCATCACCATGAGATTCTTTCTTACTCATGTCACTCAAATTCCCAGTTTGGGCAGAAATATAGATTTCCAAACTATTTAAATCCTATCTATTCAATCTAGCTACTGGCATCCCTTCATTTGCACTCTCTGTAATGAAAGACATACATGAATCAGGAACAATTAAGATCAATCATATCATTAGCTAGAGAGTTTTTAAAATCTCCTGTTCTAGTAGAAATTCCACTTAGACCTCCAGCCTCTGGGCGGGGGGGAGGGAAATGCTGCTGAACCACGAATCCCTAGATTCCTAGCTATCCCCCAAATACCTTCCCTTCTATCTACAGAAGAGCCAGCTTCTCTCCAGGGCTCTGTTACATGCATATTTATTTTGTATATTTTTTGTTTTTCCTTAATTTTTGAAGTGGACTAATGACATCAGAGGATGATCTCTTGACTCTTGGGTGAATTGGATTTAAGTGTGTCGGAGTTGAACAAAGTCATCAAAGTCTAGTGGCAAGGCAAAATTCAGGACATCTTGCTATGGCCTGGGATGCAGTGAATGACATTGACATCTGTGATGCCTGACCAAGCTCTAAATACTCCACAGAGTCTGCTTCAGCTACCTTCATGACTATTGGAACAAATTGTTTTCATCTACTCATTCCACCAGGGGAAGTTATCATATGCTTATGATAGACACCTCCCTAGGTTTGTGGCCCCTTGCTTACCCTCAACTTGGTTTAGTCCATCTGCCCAAGAAGTTTTACTGGGGCTATGGTTTCCGTGCATGCTATAGCTTCTTGGAGCCTCATGTGAGAGTTGTGTGACTAGTGGACACCAAAGGTAGATGAGCAGCCCTGAAAAGGGCTCAGCAAGTGCTCACACCATAGGTGTTAGTCTTCCTTGAACACCCCCACACCCCATTTTGTATGTGCTTATATAGGTACAATCTTCCCTATAAAATGCAAGCTCTTTGAGGCCATGTATTACTGCTGCTTTTTTTTTTTGGCTTTATATGTCAATGCCTGAAATGTAGTAGGTATCAATAGGAAATACTTGTTGATTGATTGATTAATTGGTGCACTAGGACATTCTTAGTGAGCTTGTTTTACCATTTGAAGAAAAAAACATGAAGAGGTCATGGGAAAAGTCGATCCAGATCAGGGGTTTCTAGCCTTTTTTGCGTCATGGATCCCTTTGACACTCCAGTGAAATGTATGGATTCCTTCTTTAAATAACTTAAATGCATAAAATGAAATACAGAAATTATAAAGGAAGCCAAGTATATTGAAATGTAGTTATCAAAATATTAAAAGAAAAAGTTAATAGCACCTAAGTTAAGAACCCCTAATCTAGACCCTGAATTTGTACTATGAAAGCAGGTCTAAAATTATACATCAGTAATAGAAAGGATAGTAACATCAATCCATAGACTTTTAATTTACTGCCATGTTGACATCAGACAGTATTTGATCCTCAGATGATAGGTTTAATTTCTTATTGATATTCTTAACTTGTCCTAGTGCAACTCTTCTCTCAGGTATATCTCTCAGTAATATTCAGCACTATTCTTTTTCAAAACAATCATCTATGAATTAGGCCTTGTCAAGAGACCAACAGGTTGCTATCACCGTGAGTATTCAAAACAAACAAAAACCCAGCCAACATGACACAAGTAGAGTCCCATGTAAGACCCCTCAGTAATTTAGCTACTTCATCTTCACCTCAATGCATTATAGAAATGCCTCCTATTTGATATTCCTGTCTGAATTTCCTCCTCTCTGTAAAACAACTGATCTCTCCTATGTTTAAATCATTCTGAAATACAAATATATACATCTATACCAAAAGCTTTCTGCTCTAACACATGCAAAATAGTGGGGTGTCTCTACCTCCATTGTAGTGCCTCATAGCTCTTACCTGGGCATGTGGACACATAGTTATTCTTTGGACTGGTTTACTCACACAAACCTGATCTCATCCTGGCAATTCTAGATTCACCATCATATGGTTTTAGGGGTAACTAAATTGAGAGGAAAATAAACTCCTTTTACTCAAAACCTCAGCTCTTAAGCCCCTACCAATGCACTTCTATTTGCACAATCCAGCTATTCACAGACACTTTTAAAGCTTAAACATAACCCATGTACTTAGCATACATATTTAGTTAGCAATAAGGCAAAAAAAAAAAATTCACAGATGATATACACTAATCTATGCTTAAATCATAAAGTACATCACAAACCATATGTAAATTTGGGCCTCATTCCTTTACCAATGTACTCAGAATCTGTGGGAAAGAGTGGATATACACTTATATGAATCCAGAAGGGAAGAGCATAACAGGGGAAAACTTAAGTGCTATGGGTAACTCATAACTCTGGACTATAGGCTTTGATATGATCAATCCACTGAGGACCCCCTACACCCCATGAAACTATTTTGCTGCCAACAACTTACAT